GAGCTGCACATCTGTCATGATCTCACTGAAGGTGGAGTAGGCTGAAGGGGCTAACTGGCCTACTCCTGTTCCAAGGTTCTGCGAATGTCAGTCTGGATTATGTGATAAACGCCTGAATGGGGTTTTGAACCCACAACATTCTCACTGGAGAGAGCTCCAATAGAAATTTACTCTGCTATTCAATTGCTCACCATATATTAGAGACCCAATCACAGCACTCAAAAAGCACAGAGCATTGGTTACCATGACAACAGTCACATTGCTACCAGAGACCAATAAGCCATTACTTTATAAACAGAAACATGAAAAATTCGTAAACCAGGTTACCGGCAGTGTCTTTAGCAGTATTGTCATACATTTCAGTGACAGGGTTCTGGACCAATCAGATTAATCGCATGCTAACTGCAACCAAAATTGCCACAGTGCAGTAAGTAAAACAATTACGTGCTATTATTATCCAAAGAGATTGCTATGGAACACCATTCAGACTGAAACTGGCAGAAGCAATACTGGCAATGAGGTGCCAGGAAAGGCCAGTGACTTACAAAGGTCACATGACCACACTGGCAAGCCAGGGAGATGATATTTTCTTCAATCTATATTAATTGATTTTTTAAAAAAATGAGTTATGTTATAGGAAGTTGAAGATGCTATTGCATATACCAGAAAATATACCAGAAAACAATTATGTTGATGCCATCATTGACTGAGCAGCACTTAGCCTTCTCCCAGAATCTTCTGTGGCTGGATTGGCCAAAAAAGTGGAAATACAAAATATTTTTGACAATACTTGAAAAAAAGACATAACTTTTCAGGTGTTCGTGAATTACAGAAGTAACTAGTTTCAAAGGAATTATAGATATCACATGTGATTACAGTCATATTTATGAGTCTGAGAGTGTCACATGATGTATGAACATAGAACATAGAACATTACAGCGCAGTACAGGCCCTTCGGCCCTCGATGTTGCGCCAACCTGTGAAACCAATCTGAAGCCCATCTAACCTAAACTATTCCATTATCATCCATATGTTTATCCAATGACCATTTAAATGCCCTTAAGGTTGGCGAGTCTACTACATTTGCAGGCAGGGCATTCCACGTCCTTACTGCTCTCTGAGTAAAGAACTTTTGGAAGTGCCAGTTTGAACTGACAGGGAATGTGATTTTTAAAATATTTTTTGTGAATAAAGGAAATTTTTGGAAAAGAAAGGTTAATTGGTAAAGGACATTGTCCAAGGCCCCCACACCGTAGTACACCAAGGCACTGGAAACTGTATAATCACCTTGGGCTGTAGTCACTAGAGAATGTTTGACATGATTTATGGATGTATATTATAAATATCACCTTTATGACAAGTGCAGTGAGGCACCTAATGTGCTCTATTGAAAGGAACAGATTTGTATTGTACTTTGTGTAATGTCAAATTTGAACTCCTGTCATATACTCTTACACATTTTATGAATAAAGTATATTTTTAGAAAAATAAACTATATTCTGTGAAAGCATCTACTCATAAACTGTTAGCCTGATTTTTGCTTTGCCTTTCCAGCATGTTCAGTTTAGATCTTTAGCAGTTGCCATTATTTAACTTTTTATTTCCAGTTTGAATGACCAATGAGACATCACTTAAGTTTGATCCATACTGTGCACACCACTCTGCAACTGCAGGCTTTGTTTCTCTGCACAAAAACAAACATTGAATTGAATCTCAAGAGTGACTGCATCACCAAGTACTATGGCTGGGTTCAATTTATTGTTTAGGATGAGATTGCTGCAGTATGCTTACATCCAATGACATTATACTGCTCTTGGATGCAGCTTTCTTAGAATAGAGTAGCATCCCTACAGTGTGGAAACAGGCCCTTCGGCCCAACAAGTTCACACCAACCCTCAGAGTATCCCACCCAGACCCATACCCCTATAACTCACCTAACCTACACCTCCCTGAACACTACGGGCAATTTAGCATGGTCAATCCACCTAGCCTGCACACCTTTGGACTGTGGGAGGAAACCAGAGCACCCAGAGGAAACCCACGCAGACATGGGGAGAATGTGCAAACTCCACACAGACAGTCGCCCAAGGCTGGAATTGAACCTGGGTTCCTGGTGCTGTGAAGCAGCAGTGCTAACCACTGAGCCACCGTGCCGCCGTTAAATATTAAATCTTCTTAAATAGTACAGGTTTTGTTTTGTCTACCATGATATAAATTGCCATCAATGACTCCTGAATCCCTGTACTTTTGCACAAACTGAGGAATAACAAACAAGTGAGATTCAATCATGACAAGTTTCTTGAACAATATTCTATAATCAAATATCATGGGTGGAATCATACAGGGGCCTGAATGACATGGGCTGTAACGAGAAATTTGGCAGAATAACATGAGAAATCCAAAAAGGACTATTTCAGCATCAGAAACAACTCACTGTACCTTTTAACTAAGTTCCAGGTGACAAGGGGAGATTCTTACTAGGCAGCAGTGAGTTGCTGATTAATGGGGATTATTGTTTCTTAACTGCTTTATTAACGGCAGAATCACAGTTCATTAACATGCAAATTTTTAATCTTACTATCCACCAAAAGCAAACTAGACACTGAGAATTCTCAATGTGGAAGTCACAATGGAAACCTGGTGACTTTAGCTGACTACTAGCTGTAAAGAGCCTCCATATTGGTCATCATAAGACAGCATCTCAGGGCATGTCCATGGGCACCAGCGGGGCGCACCAATTGTCCATCGACAATGGCATCTGACACGTGCCAACCTCCAAGAACCCTCATGGCAGATCTCTGATCCTCTTGTAGTATGCTTCAACAACAACAACTTATGTAATACATTTAACATAATAAAACCCCACCTAAAGGTTTTATCAAACATTTGACATTTTACTCCAGACCACACAAAGAAGTGTGAGGCTAGGTAATAAAAAGAGGTAGGTTTTAATGAATATTTTATCGGAGAAAAGAGAGGTAGAAAGGGAATTCAAGAGTTTGGATCCCATGCAACCTGGAGTCTTGGCCAAAAATAACAGAGCTATTAAAATTGAAATTAAAGTCTTGGGGGCTATAAAACTGGAGAAAATCATGCAGACAAGAAGAGAGTGAGGCCGTAGCCCCCCCCTCCTAGGATATCTGCACTTTGAATATTCTCACCAAGTGAGAAACCTCAATTTCAATAGCTCCACTATTTTTGGCCAAGACTTCACATTGCACGGGATCCAAACTCTTTAATTCCCTTTCTACTTCTCTTTCCTCGAATAAGATGTTCATTAAAATCTACCTCTTTTTATTACCTGGTGTCATACTTCCTTCTGTGGCTTGGAGTAAAATGTCAAATGTTTGATGTCAAGGGCAATTAGGGATGGGCAATAATTATTAGCCTTGCCAATGGTACCACATTCAGTGAATGAGGAAAAAAAATTTCTGAATCCTTTCAATGGCATGACCAAATTCCACACCTCAACAATACCCCTGTAACATTGCAGCAGCAACTCACTGTGAGCAATATCATAGAACAATTACCAGTATATTGTACAGTTATGTGTCTATATTGTTATGGTCCCAGCTGAAGTTAATGCCGGAACAGTCAGATCCTAGAGTGGAATGTGGTTTGTTAGATCCTAACTTCAGTTAAAAAAAAATGTCGGAGGTCAGTTGCTGAACATGCTTGCAAGAGGCTGCTACCGTACTTTGGACACAAAGAATAAAACCCTTAATAGACGTGGTTAGAAAATAAAATTACACCACACAAGACTGTTCTATAATTTTTCATTAGCAGCTTCAGAAAAGACAACATTCAAGTTGACACTCTCCCTTTTACCCCAGCAATATCTTTAAAAACACCCAAATCTCAGGAAAGAGTTTACACTATCTCCACGCTAAAGCTCCTTACACAGACTCAGGCTGGTTCAACTCCAACTGGTTTCATTTTGGTGAATTTCTAGCCAGTCACCTGATGCTTTTTCCCATCATCTGGTGTTTCTCCCAGACACCTCAGACAAATTGCAAGCTTGGATCACTGTAACTTTAATTTCAGATCAACAATATAAATTCCTTAAACTCAGGATCTAACAATCGTTCACTGTCTGGCACACACCACACAGAGTCTGATTGGCTTTTTGGATTTTTATGTTTCTTTATGTCACTGGAGTCTGGTTACTAAGCAACAATATTTTTTCTTATAATTCACTGAGCTATTAACCCTCCAACTTTTCAAGCCAAGGTTGTAAAACCTTATGAAAATGCATGTAAGCATTACAGATTTCCACACTTCTGACAATACAACTCTATGCTCACAAATGAAACTCTAAAAATGACTCTTCTTCTTAAAATAATAAAATACAATATAAACTGAAAATTATACATTGATCTTAATAAATACAATATCGCTGAAACATACATATTTTGTCAAAATGCTTCATGTTGCATTCATCAGGTTAATTAGCAAGAGTCTCAATTCAAGGGAAAAAGAACGGGAGAGTGCTCATTGGTTGGCCAGTGTACTGTGATTGGTAGAAGCATCGCATGGAGAATGCTTCATAAATGAAGATGGACAGCATTCTCCTCATTCAGAACAACGTTGGTATTCCCTTGAATTGTCCTGATAAGGGCAAAGTGAAAGGTTTTGCCGAGAGTAATCTTACAGCAATAATCAAATATAGTGTATATGTAAATACTTGTATTTCATTGTGCATATCAGAATCGAAATCTGTCCCAAACTCATCACAGTTACTCAGTTCTTTCAAGGCTTGCTCACTTTGTCATGTAGCTGTAAAGCTGAGCAAATAGAGGAAATAATTAAGCATTGAAAGTAGGATATATAATAAATGAGTTATATCATGGGACTTGGTTACCTACTGAAATTACTGACTTTCTGTTGCGATTAAAACGATAAAGATGACAATTCGAGGGCAACAATCTCATTTTTTTTCCACGTCAAGTAGGCTAATGCTAACTTCATTTCACCTTCCCGTTGAAAAGATCGATTTCTGCCCTCCCACATCAGTTTGTGCTGAAGTAAGTCGTGAACCATGAGTTGGATGCCTTGCTGATTGACAGCCGTGTTCGCCCGCTCTTCTTTCCCCGCGGCGGAGGTGTCGCTGCGTGCCTGGTGTTGCGGTCGGTCCACCGGGCGGGCGCAGCGCTACACGCGGGGTTGGCGAGTCCCGGCGCTGGAAGTAGTTCCGGGTGTAGGCCGAGCCTGGTTCTGTGACGGACAGGGACTGGAAACGGGGACTGTGAGCGGGAGCGGCACGGTCGGCGGCCCTGGTACCCCACGACCAAACGGCGGCGGAGGGGGAGGAGGGCGGATAGAGAGGAGGAAAAACCGGGCCTCCACCTCCTCCCCAGAGCGACGCCCGGAGGCCAAGCGGCAGCGGTGGAGGAGGAGGAGGGTGAGTCTTGACAGAGGAGGGGGCTGAGCCCCGGGGAGTGGCGCCCAAACTCGAGGTTCTCTGCGAGGGGCTGGGAACCCCGCTGTAGGCTGGAGGAGCGGGAGAGCCTGTGTCGGAGCACTTCAACCCTGACCGTAACCAACCATCGATATCCGAGGGCCTAAAATAGACCCTGAGGCCCAGGTTTGGGGAATAGACCGCTCACCAGGCCTGGAATACAGGCGGCTTCCTGGGGCCTGGCGGCGAAGCGGGTCTGACAGGCCTGACGGGATCTGGCATTGGAAAAAGCCGGGAAAGGCTGAGGGGAAGTGATACTGGAGCGGCGGTCCAAGGTTGTTGTCTAATGATTAATATTGATCATTTTATTTTCAGTGTACTGATGAGAGGAAGGGGGAAATATCAGGGACATCTTGTTTGCTTAATTTTAGCACATGAAATGGTGGAATTTCAATGTAAAACATTTTTATGCCTGTTTTGTTCACAAATGTTGCATGTATGTGTGAGGTTTCATAGATATCTCCAAGCCTCCTGATTAATAATAATCCAGTACAGAGACTTAGATTTGATGACATAATGACGGGTGTGTGAAATACTCACTGTACCCTGGTGGATTATGAAACACCCAATTGTACCATCTGGATTTTGCCCTTTTCAACTTGGCATGTGTGGAGACGGTTTTAAATTGTGGGGTGAAGTACAGGTTTTGTCAGTCATGATGGCATCAGTGAGATCAATTTAAGATGAACTGGAATATTGTAGATTGTGAAATTGTTTGCATACTTTTCTATCTCTTATTCGACAAAACGAAACTTCACTCAGTTTCTGATGTGGATTGATTTTTCAATGCATAGCATGTCCTTAGCACAAATTGTCCAGTATTTATGGAATATAGATTTTGGCTGTCTGCTGTTTTAGACGTTGAAAAACACTCATCTTTGGATCTGTGGCACCTCCAAAACAGTAGTTTTACATAATTTTGTGTTGTGATTTTTTACATTGAGTTTGTGTGAACTTCTATATAGGACTAACTGAAAACATTTTGCCTCCAGTTATTCATTGCGATGGTGTATTGTATCTACTTCAGCTAAAGGTCTGAATAATGCCTTATTTTGCATACAATGGTAAAAATAGTACTATGCAATAATGTAGAATTATTCCTTGTCTTGATTTTTCTGTACGCTGGACTGTTGACTCTTATTGAGGTAACGAGCAGGTTGAATCAGCCTGCTCTGTTTTCAAGCCTGGTGGTCGCTGGTTGACTAAGACAGTCCGACTTGAGAACCATTGGCCTGCGAACCTTCAATTAGAATAGACAATTCTAAGGGAAATGAATTTAGAAATTCTGCTTCAATGGATGCACTTTATTTGCTTAGTTTTGCTTATTCTCCACTACTCTCCAATGTTTCCTCAAGGTGTTTGCTGCTACTGTGGTATAATTTTTATCGTCATTATTCAACTACTGTATGTCGCCCTGGCCGTAGTTGATGTCAACTTGTGCACACTTCCAGCAGAGGTCACCAGATAGTAATCTGGAGTGGGAACCCTGCCTAATTGGTTTTCATTGAGGCCTGTCGGAGTGCAGTAATTCCCCTCCACCTCAGATTAGGAAACTCAGTATAGCCTGAAAATCAAATTTAAGGTCATTGGGTTTGTCCTGTCCCGGCTATTGCTTTTACCTAATGGATCATTTGGAGAGCCTTAAGAGTAAAGTAATACATCAACGCCTTAAGTATATTCTCTTAAACATTTAAGTCGTAACTTCAGTTTAAGTACAAAGTTCTTTCACACTGATATTTTACTTGTAATATCTAGATAAATTGGAAGAACTGAAGAACAGAGAAATAAAGAATAAATAAAGAATCTCATAGTGAACATGACCACTTGTACATTTGAAATAATACCTAAATTACATATAGCCATAAAGTGTTCTTCCTCTGTGAAAATTTTTTACTTTTAGGATCCCAAAGTTAAAACACAGGCTGCTTTTTCTGAAATTTATGATCCTTTTCCAGCTCACTGTACCATATGGCTGCTTTGTGATTAAGTTGTAGGCCCTCTGATCTTTGTTCCATTAACTTTATGCAGCAAACAGTGAGACCCATCTGCCTCTATATTCCAAAATTTAGAGCCTCAACTCCTCCTGAAGGGGGGTTTCCACAACGATTTTGGGCCTTTCATTTTGCCATATGGACTGAGAATGTTTAACAGTACCTTTTTAATGAGTCAATTGGTCAGTGAATCCATTTGTGACAACACTGCATTCTCTATGCATCTCAGTTTGGAATTTTAAGGGTTTTTCTATCCTTTTGCACATACCCATTGAGTGTCACCATTGTTATCTGGTGGTTCTGTGGCCTTATGAATACATTATTGATACAAGGTTGACCTTCAATTTGAAGAGTATCTCAAACGCTGAAATAAATTAAACTGTTACCCTTTTGTTTTCTTCCTTTAAATTTGAGTTTCTATGTGAGCAGAACATATTTTTAAAAGCTTTATTCTATTCTTTCCTTTGTGAAGAGCTGTGGGTCATTTTGATTATATTGAAAATGTTGATCAGTGTGATGTCACCAAGTCTATGTATGATGTGATGAATGCACTGTTCTTGCAGGTAATTCCAGGAGTTTCAGGTTGCATCAATACATGTGGAAGTAATTGGAATAAAAAGTAGTTTGACAGCCTAGTTACCCTGGATCAGGGTAATTGCAATTTTTTTGTATTTTTAAAATAGTAAAATTTGTGTAATGTTCAAGATTTCTTCAGTGCAAAAGCTTTTGGTGTTGGATTCATAAGAATTATCTTTTCAGTTATGAGCTTGACACCTATGTTTGTGTCTCAGTAACTGTCTGGTCATCTGTCCCAGTATCTCATTGTTTGGCTCAATGTCAAATTTTCTTCTGTTTCATGTTGTGGCTTTTTTAGCATTTTTTTTCTCAGCTTTATGGTTTGTCTGTGGGATTTTAGTTTCTCAGTATGCTGTGGTGAATGGGTCTTAGACAGTGGCCTTTCTTCATTCAACCTTTCGCTGTGGCTGCCCCAAGTTTTGGTGCATCCTTCTGTATGTAGTCTTGGACTTTGGAATCAGTCTAAAGCACTCGGTCTTCAACAATTCTTGACGATGATAGACAAACATAATTTGGGGTGTAAAAGTGTCATTTGAGTTTCTGATAAGGGAAGACAGACTATTCATATATTAACCCAGTCTGATTTATGAGGCTCATATTCAAAGTTATGCTTTTCAGTAAGGATGCCTGACTAGTGAACATCTATACCTGAATATTTTCCTTTCTCTCTAGGCTGGAGCCACCAAATCCAATTGTAGTTAGTGCACTGGTCTTTGCTGAAGTGGCTTACCTAGAAACAAACTGGAGAATTGAATCTACATTCTGGTCTGTAGCTCAGCTATACATGGTCTTACTAACTGAGCTGCACCAGCAGAGTGCTCAGTGTGTAGTTTTAATAACATTGCAGGTTTTAATTGCTTGTTTGAATTAAAATGTGCATGAAATTGTCATTTTGTTGCTAAGGATGTTTCTTGGTGGGCAGTGCCCCTCCCATGTCAAACATTTGTGTGCTCGCAGGTTATTTTGATAATTCGTCCCTCTTGTGTTTAGTAACACTTGTCATGTGAATTGCTGCATTTGTGGTGATTTGTTTTTCATCTGTTTTGCATTCACTCTGAATTGAATATATGGCAGCTAAAATTTAGACATACTGCCAGGATTTAAGTTAAAAGAATTAAGTTGCACAAGCCAAGTGAAGAGGTTAAAAAAGGGAACCCTTTTTATTTAGTGTGAGTTGGACTGTAATGTGTTTTTTTTTGTGAACGCCTACATAATACTCTGCTGGAGCTGGGGAAGAAAGTATTAAATTTCACCTGTGTCAAGTTACATTTCTGTTCTTAAAGAAGTAACATCAAATCATGCAGAGGTTGTGACTGGATCTGAGACTCTAAGAGTGCTGGCTTGGAACTGAACTGATCTTTGGCGGACTGTAATCCTGTGTCTTTGTCAAGATTGCCCATGGTGATCCAGATGATGCTGCATTTCCAACTGGCTGGGCTCATTCCTGGATGCTGGAGCGATAGACCTGTCACTGGAGCCTATGATCTTCCCAATGCTGGTCCTGGTTAAATGTCTGCAATGCCCCTGTGAATGCAAATGCTAATAAGCCTTGGCTAACGTTAAACTGCATCTAATTCTCTGGGTTCACATGACTCAGTGGGCATTAAGAGTGCACACTTCATACCAGATCTAAAAAGGAAGCCTTATGTATATTTTTTTCAGGTATTTCAACTTGATGGATTTCGATGTTCCAAGCACTAAGCTGACAGAAAAGGATGAACTGTTGTTTGGAAGACTTCAGAAACAGATATGCCTATAATGCTTTTAAGTTGAAGGATGCATATTTGTGCATGCACTCAGATTCTTCTGTGGATTAAGATGTATTGACACATTGCCCTAAAGTTAAATGCTGCTTTTTTTTCAATCTTGCAGTCCTGCATTGTGCTTAAGTAACTTAATGCTGCCCATAGTTGAGTGATATATGACCTGTCGGGAACTATGTCTCCTAATTAATTTTTACAAAATCGTAGAACTGATGCGCTGGCACAAGTTGAGACCTAGATGGTAGGGTTAGAAATTATTCAATCTCATTTCCACCTGCTTTTCATGTGTCAGACAGGCTTCGGGCTGTGTTCTGAATCTGATCTCTCCGTTTGAAGTTAAGGCATGAGTCAAGAGTGTTATGGAATAGTCCCCACTTCCAGGACAAAGCCCACTTAGAGTCACAGAGATGTACAACACAGAAACAGACCTTTCAGTCCAACTCGTCCATGTCGACCAGATTTCCTATATTAATCTGGTTCTATTTGTCAGCATTTGGCCCATATCCCTCTTAAATCCTTTGTATTCATACCCATCCAGATGCCTTTTAAATGTTGTAATTGTACCAGCCTCCACCGCTTTGTCTGACAGCTCATTCCATACACGCACCACCCT